TTTTTTTTTTTTTTTTTGAGATAGGGTCTCATGAACTGTTTGCCCAGGCTGACTTCAAAGTGTGATCCTCCTGATCCCTCCTGAGTAGCTAGGATTACAGGTGAGCCACCAGCTCCCGGCTAAGCATGTTAATTTAAATCTGTCTAGTTAATCTAATACATTTATTTTGCAATTTCATCCACTAATGATCCAGAGGAGCTCTGTTTGCTCCTAGATCTTTTATGTTTCTACTATTGAACACAAAGAAGATGTAAGAAAGATTGTATTTTTAGCTTGATGAAGTTGATCCATCTTCGTCACCAGATTGACAACTCAGAAAATCAGGAGTTGGTGGGCAACTAGTGTCATCTGTGTGAATGATAAAACATTCTTTTATTGTAGTGACCCTAAGCAGTAAATTACTGTAGTCAGCTTGGATCAGTGCATCTCACATTTTTCCACCGAGGTACCCCTGATGACAGTGAACTTGGACCCCAGAGATCTGGGGCAGAGCATAAAGTAGTTAGCTGATTATCTAAAAAATTTTTTTGTGAACTCTTTCTATCTTAAGAATTCACTTAGAGTTTATATCCTATTGCATAATACATTTTTCCTTTTAAAAACTTATGTTCTGGGAAGGCAGGCATGATGACTCAAGCTGGTAAACCTAGCTGTGTGGGAGGCAGAGATTGGGAGGATTGCAGTTCTAGTTAGCCCTGCAAAAAGTTTGCGTGACCCCTATCTCAAACAATAAAAAGCTGGAGCATGATAGGTACACATGTCATCCCCAGCTTCTTGGGGAAGCACAAATAGGAGGATTTGGATTCAGGCCAGCTTGGGCATAATGTGAAACCCTATCTTATAAAATAACCAGCACAAAAGGGGATAGAGGTGTGGCTCAAGTGATAGAGCACCTGCTTAGCAAGTGCCAGGCTCTGAGTTTAAACCCCAGTACTACTTTTTTTTTTGAGAGGGGGGAGACAAAAAAAGAGGAATCATGCTCTCGAAGGATGTGCAGTGTGAATCATATGACTTTATTTCTGGGTACACCACTGCTCTTCAGTTGATGCCCTCAGCCCTTTTGGGTGGTGCTGGCCATGCACTATCAGGAAGGAAGAGTCCATGTGCTGGAAGATTCAAAGTCACATAGTTACCTCATACTTTTGTTGACTAGCCATGGGCCTTCTCCACCCCAAAGTTTATCACCCAGACACGATGATCCTATTTTATTTCCTCCCTTTTTCCTTTGTTGAGGAGTTGTCAAAAACAAGTCTTCAAATCTTTTATGACTTCTCACTAAAGGTGCACTATTTATATGTAATAATAATCTCCTCCCTAGGAAAAGGCCTTTTAGGTATCTTTAAGTGATTCTAAGGGGTAAACTAAACTATGTGTTGATGCCACTTGCTATACTGAAATATAATGTGGAAATAACCCAAAAGAGAGTCATTGGATAATATTGCTATCCTTAGACAAGATTTGCTCAGATATATATGATTGATTATATTTTCTAATGTAACATTATTGACTTGAAGGTCTTTCTAACAAATGCTGCAAATGTCTTTTTGCTGGAACCATGTGCTGAAGTTCCCATGCTCTTGAAGGAACAAGTTGATGCCTGTAAAGCTGTTTTGATTATTTTTAGGCGCATGATAATGGAGCTTACAATGAATAAAAAAACATGGTAAGTTTATTTCAAATTAATTAACATTGTAAAACATGTTTCTGATTTCCAACATAATTAAAATGTTAAGGCTTCCATTTAATTGCTTTACAAA